CCACTGACTCACTCACCTACTCACCCACTCACTCACTCACCTACTCACCAACCCACTCACCCACTCACTCACCTACTCACCCACCCACTCACTCACTCACTCACCTACTCACCCACTCACCTACTGAGCGGTCACATCGGGCTGGAACTCATCTATCCACTCACTCACCTACTCACCCACCCACTCACCTACTCACCCACTCACTCACTCACCTACTCACCCACCCACTCACCTACTCAGCAGTCTATCGGCCTGGAATTCATCTCCCTACTCACTCACCTACTCACCCACCCACTCACTCACTCACCTACTCACCCACCCACTCACCTACTCAGCAGTCTATCGGCCTGGAATTCATCTACCTACTCACTTACCTACTCACCCACCCACTCACTTACTCAGCGGTCCATTGGCTTGAAACTCTCCGCTGCTGCGCAATGCTTGAAACCCTTTACAGACATTTAACAAGCTCAGTTTGAATATTGTGCACTCGTGATAACCTAAGTTATAAGAGTGGCGCGTAGATAAATGCACCGATTAGAGTGGACGTTAAAGATCCCCTGACGGAATTCGCAATAGCAGGCCACTGTGTGCCGGTGTCAGCGTCCAAAGTTGTCAATTTCAAGCCACGTGCCGAGCCACCTTGCGCCCACAGGGGCAGATGCTGCCGCTGGGGTGCTTCTCCCAAATTCCTCAAATCAGATGTGTCGTGGCGCGCTGCGGTTCGCCCCGGAGGGCCTTACATCAAAGCAAATTATCGTCGCAAAACTGTGCCGTTCTCCCCTGATTACGAGACATATTTGGACTTGTGTGTGGCTCCGAGGGTTGATCAAGTCCTTTGCCTGCTCGGACGGGCAGCTGCTGGGAAGAACTGCTATTTGCCTGTGCTTTGCTACGGCCGGCGTGGGCGCATGTAAACACTATTTATTGCTCAATCATTGCACATCGTCCATTTATTTTCTCGCAATCCATCTAGCCGCCGGTTCACGAGCTTATCTCGTCCTTCCACTTCCTTCCATGGTGGATGCCTTCTGGAGGCGTGCTCCATCGTTGAGGCTGCCACTCCATGGTTAGCCATTTAAGAATTGACGTGGGTTCAGAGTATTTGGCTGTGATACAGTTCCACATGATGATAAGCCACTTCGTTGAGCTGTCATTTGTGGTCAGGTGGCTTCTGACAAATAAGCTACATCAGCTCAGTGGGCCGTACCTGGAAAAATAAATCGTTTAGTTAAATAGCAAGTCTCCATCACCGGCCAATCGAAGCACACTTACAAGCCCTGTTGTGAATCCCCTCACTGGATGATGGCCTCCCCCACGCCGTGCCGGAGTGGTGGAGAAGCGAGCGCCGGGGGGTTGTATTGCACATCTATGTCCCACCACGTCGTTCGATTTTGCTTTTGAAAACCCAGCCAAAACATAGCCATACATTCAAGTAGCATCATCTTCATCGTTCTGGCCATGGAACATTGCAACTCAGCACCCCCCCTCCCCGCCGTCGGTGCTTCGAGTTCCCCCGTGCCCTCTCCCCAAGCACACACCGGGTTCGTAGTCTATGAGCCAAGTGTTTATTATCAGGGAGCACACTCTGGCGGATAGGAAGTTACAACCGTAGACTGTGGGCACCGCACCGCCCACAGCTGCAGACGTTTGGGGACTGCCAGACCAGGACCGGTTTGGTGTTTGGGCTCAAGAGTATGTCCACACGGCTCCGCTATCAACACCCCACAGGGCACAAGAGTGGGGCGGTGACAGGCGGCCACTGCCACCGCCAGTTTCCGTGTCTTGCGGAACCAGGTAGCTCAGTGAAGGTGGCCAAAACAAACGAAGTGGACGGACGCATTCTTCACAATTCCACTACGGCGCAACGGTCAACACGCTGGACCTTCAATCCAGAGGTCACGCGGCTCAGAATCCATCTCCTGGAGCGGCAGTTGAAAGGATGGGGCAAGCTTCTATGAACCACTTCTTCCCATCTAGCGTCGCCCACCCTTTTTCCACCTGCGATACATTTCTCAGCACTAGGTCCATGATCAAACCTGCGTAGTTTACTCTGATAAGGTTCGACAAAACACAATACCCGGTACCAAATATCGGTACGAATTAATTTCCTGCCACCCCGAAATACAGGTGTCAATTCCTTTCATGTACCGGTAAAACCGACATACAGGCGGCAAACAATATAACAAGAATATATTTGATAATTGTTTTTTTACCCTTCTATCTGGCAACAAAACTGACAACTTTTTTTTACAAGGAGTCATGTTTGCATAGACCACAATACCTGCAGCCATAATGCAAAAAAAAACATAACTCTGATAATATATGCTTCAAGGACAGCGCATATATTATCAGAGTTATATATTTTTTTGCATTATGGCTGCAGGTATTGTGGTCTATGCAAACATGACTCCTTGTAAAAAAGTGTCAGTTTTGTTGCCAGATAGAAGGGTAAAAAAACAAGTATCATATTTTTTACTGGCAAATGAGGTTCCAATGGTGTAAAATAATATTTTTTTATTATTAATAAAAAACTCATATCTCAAGAGCCGCAATGCACTGCGTAGTGAATATGAGACGATGGGGACCTTAATAAATAACGTCACGAAGCAGTCACTTAAAGAGCCGCATGTGGCCCCCATTGAACTTAGCAGGTTCAATGGGGGCCACAGGTTCAATGGGGAGACCTCCGTCGGTCGGTTTAGGCCGTTGGTTTCCACCATCAGAAAATGTGGTTTGGGTTTCGCCAAAGGGCTATTGCGACGGTAGTGGACGCTAAGATTCGACGGAGGGGTCACGCCGTGGATAGGGGACCTTGCCCAAGTAAAATAATTTAAGACACCGAGAAGAAAGGTGCGGCAAAAGGAGCTAGGCCATTGGAGAGTGGGAAAAAACACCCAAAGATTGGTGGGAAAGAAGGAAAGAGGAGGCTATAAAGGAGGTGTGGGACGAGGGCCCGGGGCTTTGGCAGGACGAGGCTGGGAATGAACTCCGTGTGGTGTTGCCGTGTCGCCTGCCCCACACGCTTGCTCCTGCTGATGCTGAATGAACGATGAAGTTCCCATTGCCAAGGAAGACCCGCGCGGGCTCCGTTTCACTCTGACCAGGTCACCCCACGCACAGGCGCGCGATGCAGTCAGATCACGCATGCTAAGCAGGGTTGAGCCTGGCTAAAGCTTTGTTTGGGGACCACCATGGGCCGATACAGGCGTAGTAGGCCTTGTCGGCAGTAGGGGGCAGTACAACAAAATCTGTTGTTCCTACACTCATCCCCCACACCACCACCTCTGTCCACACAGCCGTAGATACATGGGGGTACGCCACAGTTGGTCGACCGGCAGGTCACGTGTGATGGGGTAAAGTGTGGGGTTTCCTCCCACCTCTTCCAAGTACGTCTTGGGCCAGCGTGGAAGAATAGGCCAAATACCAACCGGAAGGACTGCTGATAGACATCTCTCCCGAGTGGTGGCCCTTCCGCCGACAACTACGTGAACAAACCCTTGCAGGGCTGTTACCTTTCTGTTACCTTTCACCCGTACTCCAACACGTGAAGGCCTCGCCTGAGCTGGAAGGCTACGGAACGACGCCGGCGACTCGCGGTGCAAGGGGAGAAAGTGAACGAGCCGACAACATCTGGCGAACCAGCAGCGATATTTGTTTTGAGTAACGCCCGGCTGCCTCCGCTGATGAGCCCCAGCAGGGCAAACAGCGACTCCGTACTTCACGACGCTGGTCAGAGCGGGTTGGTGAAGCGGTGGGGGGTGCAAGAACTCAGGGTCACAGTCCAAAGGTTGCTGTCTAAACAAATAACTTGGAACGCGCCGCCGCTTGAACCGTGCCCGGTTCGCCCTCGACGAGATGGGGGGGGATGACTCAGAGGCCCCAAGCGGGGAGGCTAGATCTGAAACGTTCCTGGGCTTTCCCATCACTATCGCCGACTTGAGCGGCATGGTCAAGTATGGTCACACAGCCCCCGTGATGTAAAAGTGTTGTGAGTTATTGTGTTAACAATTCACCGACGATTCCATGGAAGGTCGAGATTCAATTCGAGAAACACATTTTCTTTTGTAACAAGGTGGCTGCGGCGAATGATCTCTCCCTCGCCTGGTATGCAGGGACCAGGAGGTCGTGGGGTCGATCCCGACCCTGATGCCTGCTGTATATTTGAACTCGACGTGTCTCTCATCCCCGTGGTCGCGTGGATTTTTCTCCGGATCCTCCGATTGTGTTCCCTCCACATTTAGAGTATTTGACTGCTATACATTTCCACATAAGCCACTTCGTTGAGCTATCATTTGTGGTCAGGTCGCTTCTGAAAAATAGCTAAATATAGTGTAGTTTCATAATCACCCTTTCTTTCGGCTTTAGCGTCAAACTGAACGGGCAACGAATCACTTTGTTTATCAATGAAGTTGCTCGTATGCAGCTCAGTATTAGTGATTAGCGCAAGACATAACATGAATATTGACCTTTAGGCTGACCCAACCCTGTAAGTTCAAACATTCGTTAATTGTGGGTTTCAGATTTTTTTTTTTAAATGTATCATCATAGACTCGATTTTACTTTAGCAGATATCACCTGTCTACCCCTTCTAAGAAACGCTCTTATGATTTGTATCAGTGATTCTCGGTCACGACCATCATCTGTCTGCATTAGACGCACGTGGGGACGGAGCGGCCGCGACTATAGCCGCAGTAAAAGTGATACATCTGGACCGCTCTTGCCCCCCCCCTCCTCCTTCACCAACTCTAACAAACATTCAAACAACACCCCCCCACCACCGCGGCCCACGCGATCAACACGGTAAGGGTGAATCGAGAACTTCATCAAGCAGCGGAAAAATCGTGGCTGATGATTACGACCAGGCCAGTAACGTACGAACTGGACTCACGGGTGTCAGTGACTGTTAGACAAGTTGAAAGGATTTCTCGAGACCGTTCACCGACCGCACCTGCCGCAAACCGTGGGGTCCCCCTCCCCACCCACTCCTCCTCCCTTACCTGGCCACGTGTCGGCACTGAAACGTTCAACTCGGCACTTGTCTGCGCGTCGCTGCGCGGGACGCCGTGGGCGCGATGCCGTCGGTCATGATTATCTCGCCGCGGTTGTCCGGTGGACGGTCGAATCGAATTCCTTCTCCGAGTACGGCTACTCAGAGAGAGAGAGAGAGACGAGGAGAGACAGAGAGCTCCGGATAGACAGAGCGACGGGGGATTTTTTATGTTGCTGTTCCGGGTTTGTTGTATCCGTTGAGAACCTCTCCACCCTTGCCGCCTTCCTTCTAATCTCATCGCACGTATCCGCCGCAAGTGTTCTCTGCACGCCCACACAAGTTCACGCAGCCCTAATAACTCCCCCCCTCCTCCCCCTTGCCCTCCCTGCAAGCTCCCTCCCCTCCTAACAGCCACCCTGCACACAAAGACAAAGATCCCCCGTGTGTAGCCCGTAACAGACTGTTGGGGCAAGTGCTGTTAAGCGAGTAGCACCTGTGAAGGCCGGCACGGCACCACGAGGGGGTGGGTGGGCCAGCAACCACGCCCGGCCGCCTTTGTCTCCCCAAGTGGCGATTGTTTACACACCGCAACAGGTACTCATTTGAGGCCGAGTCGACCTAGGGGAGGCCCAGTAGCGGTTCAGATAATTATAATCGACACTGGGTGTTGTGCCCGTGAGCGGGAATCGAACTCGGGTCGCCGGGTTCGGTCGCGCGAACGATGACACTGCCGCTCCCCCTGCTTGCGAACAGCAGCCACCACCCTGCACACACACGCACGACGACACACACGCACGCGCGCACCCTTGAGCGAGTGCCGCGCACTTTGCCGCGGCAGAAAACAAGGCCAGATAATGCGGCACTGCTATGGAAATTTCTCTCACCGCGCATATATATTTTTTTCTCAACGTGCTGTAAGTTATTCGTTGCTTCTTCGTTTTGGCTGTTGGAGGCGTCTGTTGTTATTGTTGTTGTTGTTTTTAGAGTTTTCAATGATTCGTAGAAGAATAAAAACAAATCTGGGAAGTGGTCTGGTCTGGGTGCAGCGACTTACAGTTGTGCAATAAAATGGCTTAAAGGGACATTTTATTTGAGTAAAAGTGTTTTTTATTCTTGGTTATTTCGGTACGTTTCGACTGCAACACAAGCAATCATCATCATGATTGCTTGTGTTGCAGTCGAAACGTCGTGAGCATTTTTATTGTTGTATTTGTATTATTTTATTATTTCCCTTCTACGTGACTTTACCGAAAGAACCAATCATATAAATCTAAATTTAAAAGTGTTTTGTAACTAATAATTGACAGATACAATTCACACGGCGCGTATGTCGACATGTGTTGCCCGTGACGCAGGCAGCGTGTAATTGATTGTCGTGCCACTGGGGAGGGAGGGCTTGCGTGTTCAACACTCAGCGCGGAACGAGTTCATTTGTGTATGAACGGCGAGTAAGTTGCTCCAAGCGGAGATGCGTCGCGTGGTGGTGAATGGGGTCGCGAGGACTGGAGTTTTGGTGAAAACCCTGGACTAAGGGAACCTGTCTTCATGGTTCTTTCGGTAAAGTCACGTAGAAGGGAAATAATAAAATAAAATAAATATATAATAAAAAAATTCTAACGACGTTTCGGCCACAACACAAGCAGCCGTCCTCATGTGAAGAAACAGAGCTGTCGGAAAGACAGCGTCCCAATGAACACCGCCAAGAAAGTATTCATTGGGACGCTGTCTTTCCGACAGCTCTGTTTCTTCACCTGAGGACGGCTGCTTGTGTTGTGGCCGAAGCGTCGTGATATTTTTTAAATGTTATTATGTAGTATTTGTATTATTTTATTATTTCCCTTCTACGTGACTTTACCGAAAGAACCAAGAAGACGAATCCCTGCAGTCACGAAAGCTTTAAATCGAAATTTAATAATATTTCATTATGTTTTATTTTTATTATTTTATTATTTCCCTTCTACGTGACTTTACCGAAAGAACCAAGAAGATGAATCCCTGCAGTCACGAAAGCTTTAAATCGACATTTAATAATATTTTATTATGTTTTATTTTTATTATTTTATTATTTCCCTTCTACGTGACTTTACCGAAAGAACCAAGAAGATGAATCCCTGCAGTCACGAAAGCTTTAAATCGAAATTTAATAATATTTTATTATGTTTTATTTTTATTATTTTATTATTTCCCTTCTACGTGACTTTACCAAAAGAACCAATCATATAAATCCCTGCAGTCACGAAAGCTTTAAATCGAAACTTAAGGGAACCTGCTTGGAACTGTATCGACCGCTTTCCTCCCTCGCCCTGCCTCTCTCTCTCTCTCGCTCTCTGCGTCTCTCCAAGCGTGGAGACAACTCCGAGCTTTTTGCCCTCACGTCGTCACATTCCAATACGAAGGGCTTCCCGAAACAAGTTCACCCGGTTCTCGCATAATCACGGCTTTTTACGTCGTCGTGCCGGGCAAACGGTGGATGTGCCTGCCCTGCGTTCGTCGGCTCGGTTGGTTGGGTCACGTCGAGATTTGTGAATCTCCCGAACCCGCTGGGCAGTGGCGAGGTGGCCAGGTGATGGCAGTATAGCAAGTTGGTTCGTAAGCTCCGTGTGTAACGGAGTGTTATCCCTTCGTATGCCAGCTGGGTTTTTTTTCTTCGAGCTCTACAGTTAAAAACAAACACATTTTTTTTATTTTACCAGGTAAGGCCCACTGAGCTATATAGCTCTTTTTTCTGGCCATAAATGAGAGCCCAGCGAAGTGGCTTATCACGTGGAAATGTTTCGCAGCCAAATACTCTAAACGCACGTCGCTACACTTGGATGTAAAAAGAAAAACGTAGGACCCGAAGAAAAATCAACGCGACGACGGGGAGAACATTTCTGACTCCAAATATACAGGGTCGGGACCGAACCCACGACCTCCTGTGTTCCAGGCGAGGTAGTTAACATCTCACCACCGCGGTGCCCTGTTTCCTCCCACACAAACCAGAGAATAGGTTTTCCCCTTTTTTCTGGCAACAAAACACGGTGTTTAGATGTTAAAACACCAAACTGAAACCTTTTACAAGGTATCATGTCTGCATTAACCACAATACTTGTGGTTGGAATGAAAACGAAAAACATACTCTGATAGTATATGCATTCTCTTTGAAACTGATTGGTCCACACCAGAGACAGCTTTCTTTTGAGCCTCGTCTCAAATGGTGTTAGACCAGAAGACGCCAAAAGGCGAACAGCACAAAGACAATGCCACTATCAGAGTAATGAGAGCTCGGGGTGAGCATCTACATCATGGGACCTCATTTGCCAGTACCAAAATATGAGAATAGATTTTTCCCCCTTTTTTCTGGCAACAAAACAGCTGTGTTAAGATGTTAAAACACTAAACTGAAACCTTTTGCAAGGATGCATGTCTGCTTTCAAGGACAATGCACATACTGTGAGAACATGTTATTTGTTTGTATTTTCACCACAAGTTTCTGTGGTTAATGCAGACATGATTCCTTGCAAAAAGGTTTCAGTTTGACGTTTTAACATCTTAACCAAACTGTTTTGTTGCCAGAAAAAAGGGGAAAACCTATTCTTATATTTTGATCCTGGCAAAGGAAGTCCCATGATGTACTCACAAAATTACGTACAATGTTTATAGCGTCTAAACGTGTGACCTCGTCGCAAGGCGCTGTACAAAAACAGGCGTGGGGGGGGGGGGCATACTCTTGTTCTATAGAGAGGCGGTCAATCAGGCAGAGAAGAGGAATGTCCATACCATTGGTCGCGAAAGCCTACGTGTTAAAAAGAGGAATGTGTTGAGTCTGAACTTGAACACGACCAGAGAGTCGACAGCACGGATGAACGAGAGGGGGAGGGGGGTTTGAGGGAGTTTCAGTCAGTGGGACCAGCAACGCAGAAAGAGTGACCCCCCCCCCCTCCTGAGCGAGGGCTACAAAGGGGTTGTTCTTGGGCAGGAGCCAGATGGATTGTTCCATCGTGGGAGCGGCTTAGCGAGACCTTCATCCAACAGTGGATAAACCATGGTTGTTGCTTCTGATGATGAGTAGCCATAATAGAAATGCTTGCAAGTTGGAGAATAATGGAAATGTACAAGACTTTTAACTGTACTATAGTATTCTTGGGTTTTTCGGTAAAGTCACTGAGATAAGTTCAAAGGAAATAAAAAAAAACTACGACGTTTCGATCGCGACACAAGCGATCGTCTTCATGAAAAGTGCACAATAGTGATATATAACATGGCACAGTAATACAATAAATGTCAGTCCTTTGTCAATCCACTGCTGGATGAAGGCCTCCCCACGGTGTGTCGGTCGTGGTGGTTGTTTGACCATACTTCACCGCGCCGGTTAACGCGGGTTGTTGAAATGGGGGCGCGGTGTGGAAAGGGCCATAATTTAGGTTCAGACCACAGCGTGGCCTCGAATCGCATTCACGTAAGTTGCGTTCTTAGTGTGGTGCGCTAACCATTGCGCCACCGCTCCTCCTCCATCCGGCAATTCACGTGCGAGTTCTTTTGTTGGGAGATTGTGCCACCTGTTGGACGCACATTTTTTCGACGGTGATTTATTTCGCATTTTTTTTGTGGAGCAAATTAAATGGTCACATTTATTGCACAAAAGCCGCGAATGATGGAGCGGACAACCGAATTGCTCATCAGACATACGTTGACATTTGGAGAGACGCAACTTGAAAATTAATTATAATTCAAATTTACAATACGCACTCCATCCTCGGATCCTAATGCGCACAGCATGAAGAGCAGGAAACGAAAACAGAACCCGGGCAAATGTAAGAGGGAAGGCCACTTTAAAGAGATGGGTTTTTAATACATTCGTGTGTTTAGCATTCGCGACATCCTTATAGCGCACAAGCGATCACGAATGAAGGCGCCTTAGTTTGGCTTTGTAAGCTTTACTCAACAGTTCCATCATGAGTTCGGCTGTTAGATGGGCTGAATACCACTAACCTGAGTGGGTGAATGAAGGGTGAGTGAGTGAGTGAATTAGTGAACGAGTGCGTGAGCGAGTGAGTGGGTGAGCGAGCGAGAGAGTGAGTGGGTGGATGCGAGCTCGGGTGGGCGAGTGAGTGAGTGGGCAAGTGAGTGTGGGTGATTAGTGCGCGGGTGAGTGAGCGAGTGAGCTAGTAGGTGGGTGAGTGTGCGGGTAAGTGAGTGAGCCGGTGAGTGAGTGGGTAAGCGAACGGGTGAGTGAGTGAATGGATGAACGAGTGAGCGAGTGAGTGAATGGATGAACGAGTGAGTGAGTGAGCGGGTGGGCGAGCGAGCGTGAGTAGGTGGGTGAGTGGAC